CAGGAATGAACCTGGAAGGTAATGTAAATATCTAAAATGAACTGTCTCTGTATCATATAAAAATTTGTTTTACTTTTTAAAATATACATAACCAGATGTAAGAATTAAAAGTAGGATTTTTTAATGAGTATTTCATATTCTGCTTAAGTTTATTCACCAACGTTTACTGTACACACTGAATTCAGTGTAGCCAGACTATATGCTAAGAAAGAAAATTATGTAATAATGAAACTTATAAGACTTGAATAAACATTACTTTGACCTTTCTTATTTCTTTTTTCAACCTCAAAACTATTTGCTAGGGTTAGAAATGTTTTTATACTAGATACAGTTACATGTCCATTATTCTGTTATTTACCTTTTACTTGGCACATATGTGTATATATAAATCTTCTGTTACAAATCTACGGGCGGGGGAGGGAACTCCTCAAGGAGGCATTGGATGGGTTTTGTTTGTTTTTCAAGCAAAGAAGAAATCTGAAACTAGTTATAAGTTTCATATCCTGGTTTATATAACAAGCTGTATAATTAAAATTGATCTCATCATTTAAAATCTTTCCTCTGGAAAAAAGTTTGGAATTTTGCCTTAGTTGAAACTGCAAGTTCCATGAAGGTGGTAGTGGTGATCTAGTAACCCCTGTGCACTTTGATTCAGCAAGTACTCACCAAGGCAAGCACTAGACATAAAACAGTGTCTGCATTCAACATCAATAAAATAGTGCCTGTATTCAAGTACTTGCCTGTCTAGTTAGGTTGCAGAGTCAATCACAAAATGGTGCAGCACACTACAAAAGGAATAGAGAGCTACAGGAGCAAAAGGAAGGTCACCTAATTCTGTCCTAAAAGGCAGGGAAAGCTTTCTAGAAGAAGCAACGTTGAATTTTAAATCTAGAGAAGTTGAGTAGGAGTAGGTGGAATATAAGGGCAGAGACATGATCAGACTTGTATTTTGGAAAGACTAATCTTGTCGAATATGGTGATATTAGAGGGAGAATGCAAACCATGTGGTTCTTTTGACAGAAGAGAGACTGTTGGCGCTATCTAGTACACACTGTGTGTATATGTTTTTAAATACAAAGTAGATTTATGGGTGTGACTGTAGTCTAATTCCCCAAACCAGACACACAACATTATCTTCTCAGTTCTTCATATTACTTCGATAGCAAAAAAGACAGATTAAATTAGTCTTTTCTTCTCCATGTTTTACAGACCTTCGTGACACACCAGTCACTTTATTACAGAGTGTCAACATGTTAAACATTGCTTTAAAGAAAATGATAACTGGGACTTCCCTGGTGATCCAGCGGTTCTCTGCGCTCCCAATGCAGGGGGCATGGGTTCAATTCCTGGTTGAGGAACTAAGATCCTGCATGCTGCGCGGTGCGGCCAAACACACAAAACCCCAAAAATATTTTTAAAAAAAGAAAATGATAAATGCCCATCTTCTTGTAGGTGTTACCAAAGCTACAGAGATTGATTACACATTCGTGTAGAAGTTCACTTTCAGTACCACAAGGATAATTTCTTCCTGTTACCAAAAAAACCAGATAGTTATTCCTAACTTTCTTACATATCACATCTCTGTGCATATTTTAGTTTCATTTTTCTGTTCTCTCACGCATGTCAGGTTTTAGTGCTTGGTTTATATATTTTTTTCTCCAGCCCCAGTTTTACTACCTTCCTTTAAGCCCCATGTTTTCATCTCAGCTGTTTTATGTTTAGAAATAAGTTTACTCAAAGGACAAGCTCAGATAAAATCCTGTCATATCACTAATATAGTGTGGTTGCTTACCCAGTAACATTTTAGATGCTTTCCCAAATACACATCTAGCTTAACTTTGATCTTTGGAGCTTTAAGCATATAATGCTCTTTTGAGCAATTCCTCCCCTATCCCAAGTATAAGGGAAGTTTTTTATTCAAAAGAAATAAGATAGATCACCTATAAAATAATGATTCTGATGGACCAGGTTAGTAAGTTTGTCCCATTTCTCCTCCTTCTTACAATTTAGTAACAGCTGTAGTGCCCTTTGCCTTTGCCTTTACCTCACGGGAAGACCAAAGGCAGCGAGTGACATCTCATTTTCTCTGTATTATCAATATACCATCACTGCCATTTCTAATCAGGTCTTCCGCTGAAAAGTCAACTTTTTTGAATGAATAAAATTTAAACGTACAATTTAAACTAAGCTGCAGTTTCTCAAAACACTGAAATAAAAAAACAGCCACACTGCATGCTTCTATAAGTTGTCATATAAAATATCAGAATAGTGGGGAAACTAGCCTTTGTCAAGAGCTACTACATGCTAGTCTTTGATATACATTCTTCTACTCAAAGAGGTTATTTTGGACCCTCATGGGACCAAGATTATTAACCTTATGTCCGCTTACACTACACAGTTCTAGTTTGTTATTTAATAATATATTAGCTATTAGGTAGCACATATCATGCAGTTGATAATGTAACTCTACTTGTAGAAAAATTTAAAGAAAGGTTTTAAAAAATCTAATAGAGTTTTTGTGTATATGTGGTTTTAGTGTGAAAGCCTCACTTTTGTTTTAAATTATTCCAGTATATATAAAACTTTTATTTGGAGTAGGTTATGTGTGTGTCCCAGAAGTATTTGGTGGGCAGTAATACTTAATAATACTTAGTACTTAAGCATGAAACACATGGCTGAACTACACTGTTCTTCTTTGTTTTTCTTTAAACAATCTTTAAAAATGTGCTCTTGGGGCTTCCCTGGTGGCGCAGTGGTTGAGAGTCCGCCTGCCGATGCAGGGGATACGGGTTCGTGCCCCGGTCTGGGAGGATCCCACATGCCGTGGAGCGGCTGGGCCCGTGAGCCATGGCCGTTGAGCCTGCTCGTCCGGAGCCTGTGCTCCACAATGGGAGCGGCCACAACAGTGAGAGGCCCACATACGGCAAAAAAAAAAAAATGTGCTCTTGTTCATCGGAGTGTTTCCCCTAAGCAAAGCAGTTTCACGATAGCCCTCTCAGAGTAATCTTGCAGAAGCAGTCAACTCTCTCAGAGCCCAGCGCTCTCCATAAATGTTAAGTTAGTACCGCAAGTGCTGTATTTTGATGCTGTTGCTCCATACAAGTGACTCTCAAGATTTATTTTAAGGCAGCCTTCTTCACTGCTTAAAGTGCCTGGCATTTGAGTACAGTCAGTTTTTTAATGGTGATCCTAAATGTTTTTTCATTTTAAGGTGTATTGTAATTATTCCTAATTATAGTTTTATTTTTGTCATGAGGGTCAAGTGGAACTTATAGGCAAGGAGGCTTATGGTATCAGATTTCATAACTAATATTTTTAAGCTAAGTTTTAAGCTAAATAAGATTTCTTTACTTTTCTTAAGAAAGAAATGGAGCTATCACAGCCTCGTGAACACTTCTGTAGAGATCATATATTGACGGCTAATCTCCTGTATGCTCCAAGGGGTCAGGAACTTAGAGAAAAATCTTATTAACTAAATTGTGATTAAAAATAGTGATTGCTTAACTAATTCAATTAACGACTCCTTGCCACAGTTATGTGAAAATAGTACATAGTCAGCACAACACAGTTGGGCTCAATAGGCCTTTCTGAGCTTGAAGCATCAGTTCTAATTAGATAAGCAGTAAGAAATTAAACTGATTATATATTGAGTATAGAAGATGATTTTTTAATTTTTTTCCTTTGATCTTTATTTTTTTTTACGTTTTTTTTATTGAAGTATAGTTGAATTACAGTGTTGCGGTAATTACTGCTGTACAGCAGAGTGACTCAGTTATACATACAGATGCGTTCTTTTCCATCATACTTTATCACAGGATATTGAATATAGTTCCCCGCGCTATAAATTAGGGCCTTGTTATTTATCCATTCTTTATGTACCAGTTCGCATCTGCTAATCCCAAACTCCCAATCCAGCCCTCCCCCACCACACTCTCCCTTGGCAGCCACCAGTCTATTCTCTGTGTCTGTGAGTCTGTTTCTGTTTTGTAGATAAGTTCATTTGTGTCCTATTTCAGATTCCACATACAAGTGTTATCATATGGTATTTGCCTTTCTCTTTCTGACTGACTTAGTATGCTAATCTCTAGTTGCGTCCATGTTGCTGCAAATGGCATTATTTTGGGGGTTTTTTTTATGGCTGAGTAGTACTCCACTGTGTACATGTACCACATCTTCTTTATCCATTCATCTGTCGATGGAGACTTAGGTTGTTATTGTGAACAGTGCTTCTATGAACATAGGGATGCGTGTATCTTTTTGAATTATAGCTTTGTGTGGACATGTGCCCAGGAGTGGGATTGCTGGATCATATGGTAACTATTTTTAGTTTTCTGAGTAACCTCCATACTGTTTTCCACAGTGGTTATACCAACTTAAATTCCCACCAACAGTGCAGGAGGGTTCCCTTTCCTCCACACCCTCTCCAGCACTTCTTATTTGTAGACTTCTTAATGATGGCCATTCTGACCGGCATGAGGTGGTACCTCATTGTAGTTTTAATTTGCATTTCTCTAGTAATTAGCAACGTTGAGCATCTTTTCATGTGCCTATCGGCCATCTGTATTTCTTCGGAGAAACGTCTATTTAGGTCTTCTGCCTCTTTTTCCAGTGGGTTGTTTGTTCCTTGTTGTCGAGTTGTATGAGCTGTTTGTATATTTTGGAAATTAAGCCCTTGTCAGTCACATCATTTACAAATATTTTCTCCCAGTCTGTAGATTGTCTTTTCGTTGTTTTTTTTTTTTTTTTTTTTTTTATGGTTTCCTTTGCTGTGCAAAAGCTTGTAAGTTTGATTCGGTCTCATTTGTTTATTTTGGTTTTCATTTCTATTGCCTTGGGAGACAGACTTAAGAAAACATTGGTACGATTTATATCAGAATGTTTTGCCCATGTTCTCTTCTAGGAGTTTTTATGGTGAGAAGACTTTAAAATCCTCCAGTTCGTCATTGTCCGTCCTTCTTTGTTCTAATGTGGAGTGTAGGAACACATATTCTAGACAAATTTAAAGTTATGGTTAATTGAAGTTTTCACCGTACTGTTTCAGTGTATTGACTGGGGATATGCATGTTCTTGTTTACTTTGTCAACAACAAAGTACATTCCACGATTTGGAGATCTGGGTGTCAGTGAGATACCTTTGGCTGTTTAAAGGGTTTCCTTACGTGTACGAGCTCTTCCTTTTTTAAAACTTCATCACTCCTCTGTAGACTTGGACTATGTGAATTCAAAATATTCTACAACTGTATTTTACCACCAGTTGTGGCAATGATCATTTCTTATATAGCGCTTAACATGTGCCAAGAACTGTTTTACGCATTTTATATTATTTTAACTTAGTTATCAACGGACCCTATGAGGTAGGTACCAATATTATCCTCATTTTACAGAAGAGGAAACTAAGGCGCAGGGAATAACTTGCACAGATACCCCACTACTCAGTGGCAGAGCCAGGATTATATTCAAACATGCTGGTTTCATATTTATGCTGTCTCTACTACTACAGCATACTGTATCTTCAATAGAGCGTGGTAAAATAAATTAGAACAGATCTATCGTGATCCTGTTTCTCTGTTTTGAAATGTTAACTAAAAATTCTTAAATGTCTCAGCACAGAGCACAATAAGAAATGGGACCATTCTATTCAGTGTAAACAACAGGGTGTTTTTCCTTTCTAACACACACTGTATATTGAGATACATAGTTCTCGCCACCACATCTGTCCTCCACAAACTAGGTACTTTGGCATTTTAGGGGCAGAGGATCTAATAATTATTTTTAAATGTGATTAGCATTTACTTTTCCCTTAGCAAAATGGTTCACATACCTGACAACTGAGATAGGTACATTTCTTCTTTCATACAAATTACATTCCTTGCCCTTCCTTGGAGCTCTGAGTGCTTTCTCTTTAGGAATGCTAAAATTCTTTTCTTGCCTAATATTTTTATTTGTCACTAGAACAAGTAAATTCAAGAGTATGAATACTAAAAAATCTATAGAATCCATGCTGTAATTTGACTATACTGTTCCAAACTAAGTCAAACTGGTTTTAGTTACTTTATATATTACATGAAAATGGATACTTTAGGCTTATAGAGTCATGAATATAAATCTCTTATAAAAGGGAAATTATCCACTGGTAATTTATGTAAAGAAATTTAAAGTTTTTCTCTTCATCTCCACGAAGGTTTTTAAGTCCCGTATCGTATCCATCATATAGAGGTAAAAAGTGGATTCTTCTGCTGTTAGAACTAATACTGTTTTTAGTGTGTGACCTCCTATGTTATCTTACTATCTTGATAAGAAGGGGACTTTGTGCAAGCCTCTAAACAGTATCACTCTCTTCATTACATATACCCATAATTAGATTAACCGTAAGCCACAGTTACTAGCCTGGGATTACAAACTGAGATTCTTTCTTTCAGTTGATAATAAAAGTAATTTGCCTTGTATAACTAATGACAGTTTTTACTTTGGAGTGAAACTGAAACAGAAATTACTTTATGGAAGAATCTAGGCGAGTGATTTGTTTATATTGTTTTAACATAGTGTTGTAAGACACTTAATTTGATATAAAGTATAACTATAATGAAGAATGGCTTATCTGTAGAGGAAATTAATAAATGAACGGGTTCCTCTTGATCCTTTGCTTTCAGGCAAAAATGTGTTTTTCTCTTATCATAATTGCTAAATAAAAGATTTCTCCTCTTTCAAATTAAATAGTTGCAGAAATTAAAATACCTCTTTAATAAACTGTGCTGCCCAGATTTTCCCATTACAGCTGATTTCTGTGTATTTTTTTTTTAATATACCCACAGCTCGAAAAACAAAGAAAAAGATAAAAGGAATTCAGCAGGCCACTACAGGAGTCTCACAAGAAAGTTCTGAAAATTCTGCTAACAAAACAATAGTCCCTGCAACGTTACCGCAACTCACCCCTACCCTGGTGTCACTGCTGGAGGTCATTGAGCCGGAGGTGATATATGCGGGCTACGACAGCTCCATTCCAGATACAACTTGGCGGATCATGACTACACTCAACATGTTAGGTGGGCGGCAGGTGATCGCAGCGGTGAAATGGGCGAAGGCGATACCAGGTAAGATGCAAAGATAACGCAACTGAGGCACAAGTCTTAGAATCTTTTAAATAAAACATTCGGGCTTTCTATCGCCCTGGTCCCATGGCCTCCTGCCATCCCCACTCCCTCAAGGGGGAAAGAGGTATAAATATCAGGGGAAATTTTTTTAACTTAAATTCACTGAATGAGTAACATCCCAGGACAGGACTCTTGGCTTTCTATTTTACTATTTAGTCCATATTTACTCACATAGGCCAAAGGTGACAAAAATTGCCAACTCTTAAGTTTTCAGACATTGAATGCTCTTAAAAAGTACTGAGGGCTTTGGTCTTAACGTGTCAAAGGAAAACTGTGCCCACTTTGTGCTTCATTTCCTCTGTCTGTTAAGAGTCCTCCAAAACTGTCTTTGGCAGTTCCCAGAGAGATGATCTTCTCTTTGGCAACTAGAATGTTTCCTCATACCTTTATTCCTCTTAATTCAGGATTCAGGAACCTACATCTGGATGACCAAATGACCCTACTGCAATATTCATGGATGTTTCTCATGTCATTCGCCCTGGGGTGGAGATCATATAGACAATCAAGTTCAAACTTGCTGTGTTTTGCTCCTGACCTGATTATTAATGAGTAAGTCATTTGTGAGTCATTTCCCTTCAGGACTGAATCAATCCTACCAGGTATCTTGGAACTGGGCAAACTTGAAATAGAGTTTATCAGTGCTTAAGGCAGGCCAGGTGTAATGCAGAGCAAATTACATGTGGCATTATTACTGTAATTTAAGGATATTTTTTTAAATAGTGAGCATTGCTTTGGGTCAGTACAGTCTACAGCAAGTAAAAAGGAATCTTACTGTGGCCTTGTTTTAATTATGTAACCCTATTTCAGAAAGGAAGCAGATGCAGTGTTTGCATTGCATGATGCAATTCATACTGATCTTGCTTTCAGCAGGGACAATTACAGATGGGGATGACAGGTATGGACCCAGAGACAAGAGGTATCTCTCTGCATGGCAAGGCTCACTCAATGTCTGTGACTTGGAAAGAACATGGGAACAAGATTTTATTTTTAAATTTGGGAGAGAACTAACCACACTTTAAGATTTGATAAAAGTCCTGTGAAATACTTCAGATATCCATTCCCCCATACCCATTGCAGTTGTTTTCTAATTAGTTTTCCGCCTCCAGTTTATTCTCCGTCATGCTAAGTTTTTCTTCCTACTGCAGTTTGATCGTATAATGTATCACCCCGACACACAGGTGTCTTCAGTAAGCGCTCAGTGCACACTCGGCATGGTTTCTGGCTTTCCAGAATCCAGCCTCATTTTGTCTCTCGTTTGTCTCCTTCACATACTCTTTGTTCCCACTCAGAGTGGTCTACTCTTCAAACATACCCCTAGCTGATGACGTTCATACCACCGTGTAAAACCTCTCTGCTGTACGTCCCTAGCTCTTATCACTTTCTACCTTTTATTACTACCTTTTTGTACTCACAGCTTATTTCCTTTATTAGAATGCAAACAGGAGAGTCACACGCTCACATATACCTACCCATTGGTCTGGGCACAGTGAAAACTGAAGGAGATTTGTGTTCATGTGAAAAAAGATAGAGATTTTAGAATTGTGAGCTCTGGGTGCTACTGACTAAGAATTCCAAAAAAATTAATGAAATCTTAAACCACATTATTAGAATACTAGTCTCGTTGTACTCTATGTGAGTTAACCCGTCATTAGTAGTTGGCGTTCAGGATGCCATATTGAAAGTAACAGTGACTGTAAATATGTCCCGAGTGGCAAGGAGTTTGGAAATTAATTAACATCAGCTGATGAACAGAGGATGAATGGAGGAAGGAGAAAAGGACACTTGACAGCGCTGAGGACAGCCTAAAAAGACATCCTGTGAAGATAAAGCAAACATATTGTTTTATCTGTCGGGTATGCCAGGCACAAAAACGGCAGGTAGAAGTTACAGAAGAGCATCGATTTGAGCTGAGTGTGAAATGGGAGGGGGCTTGCCTTATGTAGTAAGCTCGAATTATTGTATCTATTTTAGTAGAGACTGGACGATGCTAGCTCTAACTATTTTAAAAGAGGCTGAATTATTGAGTTAAACTTGGTGTGGTTGCTCTATTGGTAATATTTATTTTCCAGCACAGTATTCATTTAATCATATTTGAGTACTTACCAAGTGCCAGACACTATTTAAGAGCTTGAGCTATAATAGATGAGGCCCCTGCTAACATACTGATGAGGAAAATCAAATAAATGACCAAAATTATTTCAGAGAGCCATGATAGAATAGTGTGGGGGCAGGGGAAGGGAGAAGGGTATAGGCTACTTTAGATTTGGGGACCATAGAAGGCCTCTCTGAAGAGCTGAGTGCTAAACAGTACAAAGAACAAGCTTATAGGAAAGGTAGGGCATCTCAGGCAGAAAAGATGAGTACAAAGGCTGGAAACAACCTTGGCATGTGTAAGGAACTGAGAGAAAGCCACTGAGGATGTTCTGTGAGTTTAGAGAAGTGGACAGGGACCAAGTCAAGCAGCATCTTGTAGGCCATGAAATAGAGTTTAGATTTTATTCTCGGAGCATGAAGAAGCCAGTGTGCGGGGGGAGGGGGGGGGTTTCAAACAGGGGAACGTCAACTACTTACCACACTCCTAATTTGTGCCTGGTACAGTATTAGCAGAGAACTACAGCAGAGAACAAGACAAAGTTCCTGACCTTTACTGCTTACACTCTAGTTGAGGAGACACAGATAACCATCAAATAAATAAAGAGTTTAAAAATGGTCGTCAGACAAAAAAATCTTTAAACCAAAACAACATGTTGACTATATTTACTCTTCATAGCCACTTGCAATTTGAAGTCATTTAATTGGGATTAAAACTGTGAACAGACTTATATGAAACACCAGCATATCCTCTTTTATAAAATTAATCTAATTCAGAGTTTTTACTTGGGGGGGCACTCAAATTTAGACTTAAACAGTTATAGCATAACCTTATAGCATAACCTGGTATTGCTTACATAAAGTAGGAGTTGACAGAAATTTTTTCTCAGTGTTCAACTTCATTGGAGGATTAAATGGCTTACAGAAACAATAGCTTTTAAGTGGGCATTCTTATTTCCCATTCTTGTATCCTTATGCTGTTGCGATAATAATCATCTTTTTTTCTTTTCTGTTAAGTCCAAGATCACTTTCTCTGTCAGAAAATTAAAATTAAAAAAAAAAAACAGATCTTGAAGTATTTTTAAAAGCATGAATGAGGCTCAGTTTCAGGCTCTTAGTGTCATTTTAAAAGTTTGAGACTCTTACCTGAAAATCATAGATGTGATCCTAACTGCTGAGAATCCTAATTGAGAATTCATTTGGGGTACCTTTAGTTGGAAGAATATTCAGTTTCACAATGTCAGTCAGAGGCAGATTTTGGGTATCAGAGTCAAGTTCTAATTCTGACCCTCTACACAACTGTAAACAGTATCACATATAGTTGTCTTTAGAATGGAATGCTGTGAAAGAAAATACCGTTTGATTTTCAAATGGGTAGGATTTAAAACTGTGTTGTCTGTCTAACTGACATATTCAAATGCTACCATAAAACCTTTATTTAAATGAATAACTGGTAATAAATTCTGTAGAAATAAATTATAAAATACTTAAATAAAACAAATGTAGAAAAATAATTTCTCCACTATATTAAGGAAAGTTTTCCAAAATTCTAATCCAGAGAGAATTAGCATTAATTTGCAATAGTTAGACGAGTTCATGGCTTTGCAAAATAGAACAAAAAAGTACTTTTTTGGGGGACAAGAATTATTTCTTCCTAACTCAAACACTGATATTTGTCTTTCACAGGCAGAGAATGGCTTTACCCTGCATGTATGACCAATGTAAACATATGCTATATGTTTCCTCTGAGTTAAACAGACTTCAGGTATCTTATGAAGAGTATCTCTGTATGAAAACCTTACTGCTTCTCTCTTCAGGTTGGTAGAACACCTACTCTCTTCTAATATTCACCTAAACATTCAAAAGCATAAAATATAGAAGTCTAGAAACAAAGGTTTATTTGTATGTATACAAAGCACTGATAATTGTACCAAGTCTACTATTTCCTGCTTGTCAGGTGCCTTAGATTTTCAAAAATGTAAATTTTAGAAAGGTACAGCCAGTGATACCAAGATTCATAAGATAGATAGGTATCATGGAGAAATGGAGAGGTATATGAATCACACGGCAGGGAGGGGGAGGTCTCTACCGACCTGTAATATCTACAGCCTTCCTTCCTTCCTGCAACCTTTGACAATGCCACACAAGAATGATTTTTGTTTCTCTACTACACTGTTATTTGGTGACAAATTTTAGTTATACAATGAGTACTACTGTGTATAAGAAATTACGGATGAGACCTAATAAAACTTAAAAGCTTTTGCACAGCAAAGGAAGCCATAAACAAAACGAAAAGACAACCCACAGAATGGGAGAAAATATTTGCAAACAAAGTGACCAACAAGGGATTAATCTCTAAAATACACAAACAGTTAATGCAGCTCAGTATCCAAACAACCCAATCAAAAATGGGCAAAGAGCTAAATAGACATTTCTCCAAAGAAATACGGACAAAGAAATGGCCAAGAGTCACAGTAAAAGAAAAGCTGCTCAACATCACTGATTATTGGAGAAATGCAAATCGAAACTACAATGAGATATCACCTCACACCAGTCAGAATGGCCATCATCAGAAAGTCTACAAACAGTAAATGCTGGAGCGGGTGTGAAGAAAAGGGAACCCTCTTGCACTGTTGGTGGGAATGTAAATTGATACACCCACTATGGAGGACAGTATAAAACGTTTCTTGGAAAACTAAAAACAGAGCTACCATATGATCCAGCAATCCCGTTCCAGGAAATATATCTATCTATCTGTAGAAAACCATAATTCGAAAAGATACATGCACCCCAGTGTTCACTGCAGCACTATTTACAATAGCCAAGACATGGAAGCCACCTAAATGTCCATCAACAGAGGAATGGATAAAGAAGATGTGGTAATACACAATAGAGTATTAGCCGTAAAAAAGAACAAAATAATGTCATTTGCAGCAGCATGGATGGACCTAGAGATTATCATACTGAGTGAAGTAAGTCAGACAGAGAAAGACAAATATCATATGATATTGCTTATACGTGAAATCTTAAAAAAAATGATACAAATGAACTTATTTACAAAACAGAAATAGAGTCACAGATGTAGAAAAACTTATGGTTGCCAAGGGGGAAGCAGGGGGAGGGATAAATTGGGAGCTTGGAACTGACATATACACACTACTATATATAAAATAGAAAACTAATAAGAACCTACCATATAGCACAGGGAACTCTACTCAATACTCTGTGATGGCCTATAGAGGAAAAGAATCTAAAAAGAGTGGGTATATGTATATATACAATATAACTCATTCACTTTGCTGTACAGCAGAAACTAACACAACATTGTCAATCAACTATACTCCAGGGCTTCCCTGGTGGCGCAGTGCTTGAGAGTCCGCCTGCCGATGCAGGAGACGCGGGTTCGTGCCCCGTTTCGGGAAGATCCCACATGCCGCGGAGCGGCTGGGCCCGTGAGCCATGGCCACTGAGCCTGCGCGTCCGGAGCCTGTGCTCCGCAAATGGGAGAGGCCACAACAGTGAGAGGCCCGCATAACGCAAGAAAAAAAAAAAAAAACTATACTCCAATAAAAATTAATTTAAAAAAAGAAATATGGGAGAAACAGATAAAACCTACAAAAGATGTGCTTGATTACTATTAGAAGGTTGGTTAATGCAGCACTGGAGCTGGACTGCTGGACAGAGGTATTCTATCTAGAGTTTATAGAACAATCTTGAAAGTTTAGATGAAGTTATTGGTATATGAACTTCAGTGAGACTACTTTCAGCTAGCAAAGGCATACTAGAAAACTTTTGAAAAATACAAAGTATCTTGTCTATCTTAGTAAAAATGTGGCATTTTCAACAAAGAGAAGCCTTCATTCCATTACCAACTGTGGTTTCCAAGTTGCTGAATAACTGTAAGCTATGGATGCTGCACATGACTATATCTATTTAAGCTTTTCCAAAGCACATATCAATATTAATGCTTTCATACTATCTTTGTTTTACAAAAGGTTGTTTATTTACTGTCACTAAGAAAAATACTAATTTTTAAGGTTAGTTAAAGAAGTGAGCTTGATGTTGTTTCAGGAAACAGTTAAGTTTCTGATCATGAATCATTTTGATTGGTAATATCCAGGTACAGGTCAGTGCTAAGATACTGACTAACCTTACTGGTAAAAAATGATGCTTTAAGTTTTATACATTCCAGACTCACTGAGCTATATGTTTTTGTTTTTTCTTTTCATTGTAGGTGATAAGAAAAAGTAAATTGAACCAGTATATATCACTGGTTCTTTAAAAAATAAAATCAGAAAAATGAAAATACATACCTTAAGATATAATTAGACTTCTACTCTGATAGAACACTGATTGATTGATAGGTATCCTTACCTCCCGCTAAAAAATGCTGGACTAAAACTTTGTGCAGGCAGGTACTGAAAGAGGTAAGCTGCACTCTGAAGCTAGCTTTCTCTTAGAGGATATTTGCAAAGCCTGGTAAAATTAGTATACTTAGTAAGTTTAAAGACAAATGCAACTGTAAAAACAAAACAGAAAAACAATGATGGCTCTAAAGGCAGATTAGACACACATTTGAAGAGACTTTAATCTGAACTACGTATCTGAAGGAATTAGCCAGAATACAATTTTTAAGATGCATATATATGTGTGTATACATGTATTCATATTTATATATGTGTGTTATGTATGTATGTAAATGAACAACGATAAGAGGCATGATTGAGGGAGGAGGTCTAAAACAGTGCTTCACAACTCTTTTCGTGTCATAATGAACATAAAAAATAGCATTCATACGTAGCACAATGAGGTAAATGAATAAGGCTACTTGCAACCAGTGGCAACCAGCATAACAGACATTATCAACACATTTGTAACCCATTCATAGCACACCAGTTGAATGAAAAAAGCTCTGGTCTTATTATAATCATCAGAGATCCAAAATGAAAGGTGAAAAGATATAATGGCTGAAAACTTTCCAGAACAGCAGCAATTGAAGAAAGTGGAGTAAGTTTTTTCAGAAAGCTAAGGGAAAAAAACCTGAAAAATGAGGGTGGCTTTCCAGTTTCAGCTCTCACAATTAAACAGCTTGGCAGTTATCACTCCCATCCTCACAAATAAGTAAGAGCTGAGCAAACTGACAGTCAGTGACTTTTTTTTAGATCCATCAGTGTAGTAAGGTCACAGGGCAAACCACTACCTGAAAATCTGGAGAAACAGGCAAATATAGAGAGGCTCAGCCAACATCAGCTTTCTGGAAACAGAAGCTACTGGAGCCCGTAACATAGGAACACTTACAGTATTTCTGATGAATTTCCGGAGATCAAGTGAGGAATAGCTGGCATGTTACAAACTCTGGGGACCCAGTCTTAGGGGGGTTGTCCCCCACAGTTTTCTGGGGTTTACCTCCAGAAGCCCCAGCAGGTTTTCAAGGTGAAGATCAGAGAAAGATTCCCTCATGTTTCTGACCTGGAGAAAAGGGGCAAATAGATAATTCCAGCCCGGCCCCCTTTACCTTCGTATCTCATGTAAGGGAGGAGGAGGAGGAGGGAAAAGCAGGTTCAGAAGCATGTGTCTAAAGGTCGGAGCCTAGGGACTCAGGCCTGCTATAATTAATTAATTTAAAAAACAAAAAAGGAAAAACCTGAGCTTTAAACATAAAAGTATAAACAAACACCCCACATCCCCAACACCTTACAACCATATTAACAGAGTTCCAGTATAATCCAGAATTATGGCTGGGAGAGCTACAGAACACAGCTATTTAAAGAAGGTGTTCTTAGGGAAACTCCAAGACAACAGGGGGAAAAAATAAGAACAAGGAAATTAGAGGAAACTGAAACCTCTGAACACCTATAGCTTCAGAAAGCCTTACACAACCTGCTCTCCTAGCCAGATTAAAAGCCTAATTAATTACCTCAGTTCTGATATGTCATATCCAGCTTTCAATTTTAAAACTACAGTCAGGAGAGAAAAGCATCAAAACCAGACTCAGACATGACACACACGTTATAATTATCAGACAGGGAATTTAAAATAACAACAATTAATATATATAAGGGCTCTAATGGAAAAAGTAAACATATAAGAATATATGGGTTTTGTAAGCAGAGAGGTAGAAACTCTAAGAAAGAATCAAAATGAAATGCTAGAAATTAAAAATACTGTAATGAAAATGAAGAATGCTGGGCTCATCAGTAGATTTGACACAGCCAAGGAAAGGAATCACTGAGCTTGAAGATACCTCAGTAGAAACTTCCCAGACTCAAATGCAAAGAGAAAAAGGAATGAAAAAAATGCAACAAAACATTCAAGAACTGTGAGGACAATTACAAAAGGTGTAACATACAAGTAATGGGAATATCAGAAGTAGAAGAAAGGAAGGAACAGAAGAAATATTTGAAGCAATAAAGGCTGATAAATTTCCAAAATTAATGACAGACGCCAAAGCACAGATCCAGGAAGCTCGGAAAATACCCAGAAAGATAAATAAATAGCAAAAAGTCTACACCTAGGCATATTTTACTCAAATTACAGAAAACCAAAGACAATAAGGAAATGTTGAAAGAGGCCAGAGGAAAAAACAGCTTACTTGTTCCTTATAATGGAACAAGGATAAAAATTACACTAGAATTCTCATCAGAAACCGTGCAAGCAAGAAGGTAGTGAACTGTTTAGTGTTGAAAGAAAGAAAAAGATCACCCATGTAAGATCTGGTGTCCAGTGAGAAAGTACCCTTCATATAAGTGAAGGCAAAAGGAAGACTTTCTCAGACAAGAATCTGGGAGAATTAGTCGCCAGAAGACCTGCCTTGCAT